GTGATCATGTTATCAAATACCTTGTTGGTGTTTATACACGTTATAGACCTGTGCTGCTTTCTTTCTTGGTCAGAGAAGCTTCTTCTTGCAGTTAATTCAGAGACTCATAAACAATCAGAGTTGTGAGAATAAGTGTCTGTTGAGGGCTCAACCCTAAATGGAATATCTGTGTATCAACTCCCACCCCTCAAGACTCAGGGAACATTGCAGAAGAGAAGTACAAAATGTGAGCTCAGGAGGAGGGGGGCGGGGATGCCTCAGTGCTGTCTTCTGGACATGCATGGATCTTGTACTGGTGGACTCACAGCACTTGGCTTCCCAGGACAAGACCACCACAGGATCAGGCCAGTGAACAGTCTACAGTGGATGGGTGAGGGGATCATGTAGTCCTACCCTAGCTGAGGCTATGAGCATTTATTGGGGAAGGGAGAATCTTTTTGTGTGTGTGTGGGTATGGCCACAGGAAGCTTGCCCATGTTCCAGTGGATGGCTCTACCACATCCACAAATACATAAAAAGCACTGATTGGACTCAGTGTGATATATAAAAATATGAATAAATTTAAAAGGAAATGAAATTAAAAGGGGCTGTATAGGGGCATGTTCAGAGGGAATTGAAGGAAGGAAATGGAGGGAATGGGGAGATATGATAAAAAAAAATATTCTCTATCTATGTAAGAAATTCTCAAAAAAATAAATAAAAATATTTTAAAAGGTAACAAGTACAAAAATGTATTACTCAGGCCATCTCAGCTTCACAGTGACCCATAGGCACTGCTGAGAACTTCATGCATCACAGTTCAACCTCCCTCTCTGCCTAGCCCATCTTCCCTCAGTTCCACACAAGTGCTGGTTTTAAGACCACTGTTGGGTGTGGGGGAGGGGGGACTTCTTGTCTCCAGCCATCTTCTCAGATCAGGAGATCCTAACCTTCAACACTTCTACCAGACAGAAAGCCTAAACAGGGCCAGCTGTAGTGTTCTCTGTTACCTGCCCTTGCTTTTTATCTTGCTCTGTCACCCTGGAACCCAGCACAGTGCTGTTGTGGAATAATCTTTTTGTACACTGTGAAGATGTATCATTCTGATTGGTTTAATAAAAAGCTGAATGGCCAATAGCTAGATAGGATTTCCAGGCACAAAGGATGCTTGGAAGAAGAAGGGTGGAGAGGCCAAGAGACGAAGAGCAAACAGGATGGGCACTACAGAGATGGGGTAATAAAGCCACAAGGCAGAAATAAATTAATAAAAATGGGTTAATTTAAGTTATAAGAGCTAGTTAGAAACAAGCCTAAGCTATGGGCCAAGCTTTCATAATTAATAATGAGTTTCTGTGTTGTTATTTGGGAGCTGGCTGGCAGGACAGAGACTTGCTACACAGTCCTGGACAGAGGGCCCCACGACAAACTTCTAATGAGTAGAAAACATACAACAGCTTGGATCAAGCTGGACGCCTTTGTACAGATCAGGCAGTCACTTACTCTGGCTTATTTCTTGTTGGTGAAACAATGCTTTCAGGCTGCACTTTGTCCTGGCAGACTCCATTTTATGAGCAGCATTTGATTCCATTTTGAGTGTAGATATGCATGGAGATACCACTACCTGTCCTGTACCACGCACGCATGAGCACTGACTAATAAATAACTGATGTATAAAAGTAGAACAGAGCCAACTATAAATTTATCAAAATAGACTTGGGACACATGAACACATGGGTATATTAAAACCAGATGAGAATACAGGCCCAAGAACCTATCAGACACAGCAGAGCAGTGAAGGGCCCAGTACCCTCCTCTGGGCCCAAGAGAAGAAAGACACCTAGTGCTGTAATGATGATAGTTCTTTCAAACTGTCATCTGACCACCTGGTGCGTGTGTGTATGCATGTGCATGCATGCGTGCGTGTGCATGCATGCGTGCGTGCGTGTGTGTGTGTGTGTGTGTGTGTGTGTGTGTGTGTGCGCGTGTGTGAAGGGATGAACAAAGAATTCCTGATTGTCCCCTAGGCTTCAAGTCTGTTTTGTCCCCATTGCTTGATGCAGTCCACTCAAATTACCATCCGTTTGTCCACACTTGGTCCTGTACCTTGCCACCACAGGAGCTGAGCCTTTGCAGCTCAGCTCAGCTCTGAGACCCTCCAGCAGCTGGCTTCCCACTCTCTCACCTGCACCCTGCAGTAACTCAGCACCTGTACCAGCTTTCTGCTCTGCCAGGAAGGCCTCTTGAACCTGACCTCTACTGTAGCTTCTTGAAGCCTCTGGTAGCCATTCTATGACCTGCATATAAACATACAGAGAGATAGGATTGTGGCATGATGTATAATGTGTACTCTGAGGGCTAGTAGTTAAGAGTGGGATCAAAGAACCTGTATTTGCCAATGGCCAGCTATCATTTGGTAAACTGCAGCCAATGAGACAATGGAGGTGAAGTTCTTTCTTATTCTGTGAACAATAGAAAGATACAAATGTGTCATAATTTCTCCTCCCAAGAATGTGCTTCCTTCACATCCAATATAAATGTGGGACATCTTCTCAATCTTTACCATGCAAAACACCCACAGGATACATAAGGAACACAAAATGTGTGCAGTCTAGGGAACTAACTTGCACACTGTTTCCTAGAGAGATACACTTTTGTTTGTTTATCAGAGACAAGGTTTCTCAGTAGCTCTGGCTATCCTAGAACTTACTCTGTAGCCCTGGCTGGCCTCAAACTCACAGAGGTCTGCCTGCCTCTGCCTCCCAAGTGCTGAGATTAAAGGCGTGTGCCACTGTGCCTGGCTAGTATACTTTGTATTTTTAAAACCAGGTGGTGTGACTCAGGCTGGGCTCATCTTTCTGCTTCTGGAGGACAGTCATCCATAATCCGGAGAGGTGTGGTCTAAGCACCCAGGCAACAAATCTCATGCTCTTGCAGGTATCTCAGGTGTCTAATGAAGATTTCCCTTGTGTATCTCAATGACAACTTCAGCCAACTGATTACTGTGGCTGTACCTGTAGCCTAATTGGGGCCATTTTTCTGCTCTAATAGTCTTTGTCAACATTCCCAGCAAGAACCCTGTTATTGTAGTTCCAGACTGTCCCAAGGGAGTTCTACCCTCTTCCTTGTCTTCAGTTCGGCTTGGCCAGCTTTGCCATGGCTGTGCGAGGTGTCTTCCCTAACCACTTCCTGCCCAGGGAGGCTGCCAGAGAGCACCTTTTCCAACTGCATTATGGGTTACACAGATCCAGGATGTGACGGTTTTAGTTGGATTGACTGTGAACATTTACTTTTGTATCTTCAGAATCTAGTGTTTGGCTCAGAAATGTCTCAATGAATGAGTGAATGAACAGGCAGGATGTTGCCCCTCACCCACCCAGGATTGTGAAACCACAGGCTTGTTGCTCCAGCCAGCAAGCAGAGCCTGTCCTCATTCTTTCCACATGGGGAGCATCAACTAGAGAGCCTTACTTCTTCCCTCAGAAGAGAGACATCCACAGCTTTGTCTCTCCTGTACTTTTTTTCTCTTTAAAACGTAAACACCATCATGCCTCAGGGGGCAGAGAAAGGCTCAGGCTGACTCCATCTATTGTATTTGAACTCCACATCCATATTACCTGCCTCATAGCACTTCCATTACCCAGTGGGCCTTTCCCCCACCTTTGGGGTTTCATTGCCATCAGCCTGTTCCCAGGAAGGTCTGATACCTGTGCCCCAAGTCCAGCCACTTTGCATTCTGAGGGTCTTAGTCCCCCATTTCCTACCAAGGTTTTGAATTGACAGTTGCCATGCCACATCACAGTCCTAGGTGTTCACATATGCATCAGGTGACAATCCCACTTTGCATGTCCAGGAGACCTTCATTTTCATCTGTAAAGAGGCTTTGCACATCTCTGCACATCTGATTTATTGATATCACATCAAGTTGGTCCACTGTTCTGTTCCAAGGACCTGCAGTAAGCCTTCCTTTAACATACTCATTGTTGGCTATTTCAGCTCTTGGGCTGGACCTACATAATAGAGTCGGTACCACACAGTGAGCCACGTTTGATCCATGCCCTTCACTTGCTCCCTAGTTACTGGTTGCTGTGGTTTGTCCATCAAAGGAGTGTATGTTTAAAGCTTGGTACCCATGTAATAGTGTAAGAAGTTGTGAGACCTTCAAGAGGTGGAGCCTAGTCCTGAAGTCATTGGGGTTATGCTTCCTGAAGGGATTGCTGTTTCTTGTGGAGTCCATTTAGTTAGTAGCTTTCTTGCCAGAGAGAGTTCTTATGAAAGTCCAAACTTGACCCTGGAACATTCTCTGGCTTCATGCCTTATCCTATGATCTGTTTCTTCCACCACCCACTCACTGTTGTGATGCATTCCTGCTGAGGACCTTACAGAGCCGAGCTGATGTGGGCACCATGCTCTTGAGTCTCCAGTACTCTGAGATAAACAGGCATCTTTTTCTTTATAGAATTACCCAGCCTCAGGTATTTTGTTATAGTGAAGAAAAACAGGGGCTGGAGGTGTAGGTCACTTGTCTAGCATTTGTGAGGCCCTGGGTTTAGTCTCCAATATCACAAAGAAAAAGAAGGAAGAGAGAGAGGAAAGATGGAAGGGAGGGAGGGAAGGAGGAAGGGGAGATGAGAGAGAAAACAAGAGAGAAAGCCGGAGAGAAAACAAGCACTATGGAAATGCAG